CCCCAATGTCCCCAATGTCCCCACTGACCCCTGTCCTTGAGGGTCAGCACCAGCGTTTGCCCCTCGGGGATCGAGGCCGGGTCGTGCTCCACCGTCAGCCCCTGCAGGTCCCGGGCACTGTAACGCTCCTGGGGGGGACAGAGGGGTCATGGCCTGTCCCCAAATGTCCCCAAATGCCCCCAAATGTCCCCAAACATCCCAAATGTCTCCAAAGTCCCCAATGTCCCTCACCCGCCGCCGCCGCTGGAACTCCTCCTCCACCAAGGGGCTGACACCGAACTCCTGATCCATCTCCTCCAGCAGCTTGGCCTGCAAATCCTCCCAGTCAAACCAGGGGGGATACACTTGGGGACACTTGGGGACACTTGGGGACAGCAGGGGACACCCCCAGCCCACCCCCAAAAAAAAAAAGGAACCCGGGGGATTTTATTGAAGGGAAAAAAATGAGGTGAAAATATCAATTTTTGGGTTAAAAACGGCCCCAAACGGCTCCGGAGCCGTCGGGTTCTTCCTGAAATTCTCCCGGAATTTTTTGGGAATGTCGTTAAAAATCGGGGTCGGTCCTCAAACGGCCCCAAAATCCCCAAAAATCAGGCTGGGATCGGGATTTTAGGGTAAAAATTCCTGATTTTGGCACCACGTGGGGAAAATTTACCTGAGGAAAGCAAAATTTAAGGTCTCAAATCATCGTTTTTAAGGACTTTTCGAGGGAATATCCCTAAAAATCACATTGAAATTCAAAATGTTTAAAAATTTGGAGAAAATTTGAGTTTCAGGCTCAAAAATTCCTCGTTTTAACTCAAAAATTTGTTTTGGATAAAAGATTTCCAACCCAAAATCTTGAATTTTTCAGATTTTTCTCTAAAATAATCTTAGGTTTTGTAATTTTTAGGAAGTTTTTAATTGAAAACCTTAAAATTTAACAAAAATTTTCCAGCAGCTCCAGAATTCCCAAAAATCCTGGACAAAACCAGGTTTTTAGCAGGGAAAAATTTAGAAAAAAATCTCATAAAAATCAGAATTTAAGCTGTAAAATCACTAAAAATTGGGGTAAAAATGCCGTTTTTTGATTGAAATTCGGGGGATTTTGGTTTTCCCGGGATTTGAGGATTTCCTGGGATTTGGGGGTTTTTTCCCACCCTTTTTTCCGCCAGTTCTTTCTCCCTCTGGAGCGCCCGGCTGCGCTCGATCCACGCGGCCGCGTCGTCCAGCCAGGGCTCCTCCTCCCCCAGAGTCTTCACTTTCCTTTTTGGGGTAAAAAATGGGAATTTTGGGATCCCCAAAACCGCCTAAAATCTGTCCTGAAACCCCAAAATCCTCCTGGATCCTTTCCCTGTTTCCCAAAGAATCCGGGTTTTTCCAATATTTATAAAAATTTTCTTTAGGATTTCCAAATTCTGCCCCAAAATCCCACCTTGGCCCCCCAAATTCCCCCTGAGACCCCTCCCAGTCCCCCCAAAATCCCCCCTTGAACCCCACAATTCCTTCCAAACCCCCCAAAACTCCCAAATTTCCCCAAAATCCCCTCCCAGCCCCCCCCAAAACCCCTGAAACCCCCTCCCAGTCCCCCAAAATCCCTCCAAAATCTTCCCAAATCCCCTCAAATCCCATCCCAGCCCCCCCAAATCCCCTCCAATCCCCCCCCCCCCCCCCCCATCCCCTCCCCGCCCCCCACCCCCCCCCCCCCCACCCCCC